CAAACGAACAAACAGACAGACAGGGGTGAAAACATAACCTCCTTGGCGGAGGTAATTAAGGTGGAACTGTACCTAAGCAGGGCTAAATATCATGGTTTTATAGATAAAATCAATAGAAAGTCTTTAAAGAAAAATCCCCAAGCCCCTTTTGTAGTACTTTGTTCAAGTGTTATAATATTATTAAAAGCATGTTAATAGCTATCCATGAAAATCGTGTCTTTGACCAAAAATCCCAATATTACGTCACACGATGAATTTGGAGCTGTGTTTCAAGCATATTAGATAAAATTAAGATAAAATCTCCAACATGCAGTCCTACCTTAAGCCATCAAACAGCACTGGAAATGCGAAATGGCCACGTGCATTTTCAGTAAACAGATATCTCTGAAATTTAATTCATATAAATATGTATGTGGTTGTAGAATCTGAAACGGGCTCTAGTGTCGTTGCCTTTTTAATTTATCATGATGTCCTATAAAAGTTTGCATGACTGCACGCTCTGGCAAATGCCATTCTTTCTGTGTGCTTTTTTAGCGTTCTGTGAGTTCCGTTATTAGATTGGTATAGGACGCACGAATGTCATTAAATATCCCCAAACACTTCCGTGTTGCTATTGATCGGCGTGACTTTTGGTAATATATACCTGTCTCTTTTTACTCTTATTAAAATGAAAAGTTTTTCCTCGATGTTAACTTCGTTCTCCGGTGTTAAATGTTGCAACTTTTTAAAATTGGAAAGGCTCTTAACTGTAATTGTGTATTTTCCTTTGAAGTTATAGCCTAAAGAGTAGTTCAAATAAGGTCTCAGAACATAAAAGATATATCTATAAACACAAATTTTTATTTCGTTGCCGGAATAAAAGGATTGGCCTAATAAAAAATAAAAGCCAGGGGCAACGTCCAACAGATTACTTCCCCAAGTGATTTTAACAAGGCAAAGCATATTCATAAACATGGAATAATCTGCCACAAATTCCCAAAGGTGAGTATTAGAAATTAACCGTTTAAGTAGCCTATAGAACCAGTCTCTTCTTGGTGTAAGACCCCATTCCCACAAACACCATCAGTCTAAGTGGATCAACCCAACCCCGGAGGGACTTTCGCTGAATGCAGTCAGTTTAACTGATGAACACGCCTCCTTCTTGCGTCAAGTACACACACTGGACAATAGAAGTGTCACCCCTACTGAACCAATACTTTGGGGGAGATAAATGACTGTGGAATGATATACTCCTAATATCATTTTATTAACATCAAATTTCACAAAAAATAAATAAATAAATAAATAAATAAATAAATAAATAAATAAATAAATAAATAAATAAGAATAAAAAAATGTAGACCAGGCATTATAACTACTTAAGATCTGCCTACTTTGATTATTGATTACTTGATTATTATTTGATTACTCTGATTCAAGGGGTGACACTTCTATCGTCCATTGTGTGTAGAATACGGAAAGGCTGGCGGTTATACGAGTATGTTGGAAACAAAAGCAGGCGCGTCATTCAGTTGAGCTGATTGCACTTAGCGAGAGTCCCCGCAGAGAGTCCCTCGCGACCAGTGGTGTCTATGGGTATGGGGTCTTATACGGGCTAAGATCAGCTTAATTCCTTAAGGAGTATTTACACTCATACAACTCAGCATCCCAAGACTACCGAATCTTAATTGTTTGGGGATAAGTCCAATGTCGTGTATAAAAAATTCAAAATGATTTATCACCAGTACTGAAACGCACGGCAGGACACCCTGCGTTGTGTAGGTACCTTTCTGATATCAGGGGCTTCTAAAATAGTATACAAAATTAAAGTATCACAATAATTTTGTAACAGACGACTAGCGAACCCCGTGGTCTGAGAGTGTAGGTTTTTGGAGGTTGACCAAGGGTTTCTTACTACTACTAATAGTATAGGACTGTGGATTTAGAATGATCGCGAGCGTAATCCATGACTGGATTTTACAAATCAACTCTCGTCGAAAGAAGGTCCCAATATTAAAACTGATAGATTGAGTCTATTTTAATTCAAGGCTGTCCGATTGAATTTAGGATGTTAATCCCACTGCTAAAAAAGTAAGGAAATGGTCCTTTTAATTTGGTGTATTTTCGATTGAAGTTAACCAAAAAGTCAGAGCCTTAGAGTACTAAAACTGAGTCTAAGTATTGAGAACGTTCCAAGTCTTGTTAACTAGCCTGGACAAATAAAAGCCTTAAGACCATTTTACATGCAGACGTCATGCGCTTCTGAATGTTATACCCTCTGAGAATACTCTTTTTCGCCATTTGGAGACACGCTGTTCAGATTTGCCCCTTGAAAAACAGGGTGGCTCCGTCGGGGACGCTGAACAGATACCCATACCTTCAGGATAGAGCCAGGGTGCAGGTAGGACAATCAATTTGCGTGTCAATAATTCCCCAGCGACACTTAACTGGATCAGCCATTTATCTCGATACTGATTGGAACCGTGTTGTGATTTAGATTCATCACCTACAGGCAGATACCGGGGAAGGGGGGGGGGAGGTAGCTGGGAACTCTCTCTTTGACCCCATTCCCAGAGATTAGATCGATCCAACTAGATCGACCTAACTCCCTGGGGATTCACGCTAAACAGCTGTCAGCCGAGCGGGCACGAAAGTTAATTACTCCCTTACAGCTTGTTATAGGCTGGACGGACATTTAGGCCGGATTATCTGACAGTAATCTAGTGAGACTCCTCACGGGGATAGATCGATCTAAAACTATGGGAATGCACCCTTTCTCTCTCTCTCTCTCTTGCTCTCTCTCTCTCTCTCTCGATTGCCAAAACTGGCGGGTTAAAAAGTGCTCGAAATCTCAAATATGGCACATCTATATTCAATTTCATGACTGTCTTCATCCATCCCTCTCCGATTTGTCCTTGTCGGGTAGATTAGTGGTCTAGATATAATTCTTGCGACTGTGGCCATGACGTCCATTCTTACCACAAAGAGACGCATTAATATAGATAAGATGATAAATATGAAAGTATGGGAAAGGTCAACAAAATTTAGAAAATAAGAACCTGGCATTTAAGATCGTCTCGCTTTGCATGAGTATGGATTATCAACTACAAAATGTCAGGACCCAAAGTCTCATTTCTTCGTTGCTTTTCATTAATCTACACATGCGACTCATCGCAAATTTTTCTTTTTTTTTCCGAAGATAACAATCTCTGACGAAAACAGGAAAAATATCACCATTATTTCAGTTCGTCATCAATATAACGCTGACGATGAAGAGTTCAGCTCACGCTGGTTGTTATACTATCGGACATAGAGCGCATTCAGAACTGATGATCCGCGGACTAACTGATCCGACGATTAAATATGGCCGACCACACTTAAAAACAAAAAAAAGGCACTCAGTAGATAAAAATTCGAATCAAAATTCTCTTTTTAAGTGTCCTGCCATTCAGAGTCTCCTTGAGCAATCTTTTCTGATATAGTTTGGTTTCTTAAAATATTTAGTTTGATAAATAAATATTTAAAAGTTTTATAATGCTCATTATAGCAGCCCTGATTTATCTGACTCCAAGAATTCTTCTTTTAAACATACAAAAAAACTTTCTTATGAACTTCAGTAATATAGAGATCCTTTTCTGAAATAAATTACGGAAATGTTTTTGGAATCATGTTTCTTTCAATGCACGAATCACGTTAGAAAAGACCACAGGTAAAGCCAAAAACAATGTGATATTTCATTTAAGTAGTTATGACATATATCTTGGACATATAACGAAATCTTATCCACGCATAGATCAACAAAAATGTATGAAAACTGTTGAGGGGAAAAAGCGTAAAAATGTAAAGTTATATGGTGAAGACGATTACAGCAAAAGTGTCATTAATTTTGACTTAGCAGATCATCGTCGCCAGCCATTAAAACAGATTTTTGTTAACACAAATCACTTGGCGCGGAGTTCGTACATAAAATAAGAACGCTGAATATAGAAGTCACGTTATTAAAAGACGTCAGAGATTAACGTCAGATTTCCTTTACTGGAAATAAGAGAAAAACGAACATGATATTGAAAAGTTGTAGGAAGCTTGGACATAATAACGTTATTATGTCCAAGTAGGAAGTGAGTGATAAAATGGATGAAAGAAAAAAATACCCTGGGGTTCCCCTTCTTACAGATTATCTGGATAACTGTGTGTGTGTGTGTGTGTGTGTGTGTGTGTGTGTGTGTGTGTGTGGCATGAGAATCGCCCAAAACGTACATGTGAAGTATTGAAAACGAAGAAGTTGGGAAGCAGCGAATATCTGATGTTCACGAAAGGAAAAAAAGACGACAGTAGATGCGTTGTCTGAAGAGTGGACTCTGGGAGCCGCTCCACCCCCTCCTTCGAAGGTTAACCAAAGTAAACAGNTTTGAAAATTTTGGCCCATTTGACCTTGAAGTAGAGGTCAAAGGTCAAATCCAAGGGTATATTTGAAATCTACACATATGACTTTTGGAAAGCCGTCTATAGAAATTTTTCCCATAACTCCTTCTGTAGGGTAGATAATTAGCATTTAATTTTGCCATTTTTAGACAAGGGTGCATTGCAATGAGTGCCACACCCAGACCCCAATACGGACAAAGCCCAAATTTTACGTGGAACGAGTTGAGATTATAGGTGACCTAAATCCATTAGATGGGTATGGGGGCCCTTACCGTCTAGGAGGAGAAGCGGTAACGGTAGCCGTCCGGCGGAGCCGGCGGAACGATCCGGACGGGACCGAAACCATGTGTACCGCCAGCGCTAACGCTGGTGGTACAATTATGCTGTAGTTGCAGCGTTTGGTGCAAAGATCTACACCAATTTGAACATGACGCAAGGTTAAGTAAGTAGTTAATTGCAGCGATTAGGACACGTGGATTAACGCTGTGGGAGTATTGAGAAACGCGAATAATTAATTTGAAGAAATGCTATTTGTCGATCTACCTGCGGGGTAGATGATGAATTATTAAGGAATACTAAAACAACACATGTAGCAGATGTTAGCAGCACCTTTTTATTGCAATACTATCATCAATCTTTAAAAATATGCATCACAAGAATTTGTTAACCAATGCAGAAAAAAATACTGTTGCTTTCCCTGATCCATTGTTACTACTATAATGGCTTTTTTGATAAAAGTCTGGTCCATTTGCTCAATATAATGTACATTTACTTAACAATTCATGATTCTTTCATGACAGCTACTTAACAACAGACAATGGTGAATATTTCAAGTTATCCATCAAATACCAGCCTCACATAAACAAGACTCTCAAAAGAAATGATATAAAGTGAAATAAAAATGAGTGTTGGACTGTTTATCCATTTCTAATACTGCTTCCTTAAATTGATAAGCCATGTTATTTTATCCTAGCTGGCTATAGCCTTTCTCTCTCATAATAATTTGAAAATGTCACAAAGTGAAATTTTTTATGCCTACATATCTAGCAAAGCTACTCATCTTTCCCAATCCAGACCTTAATAATAATCAGTTAAAGAACCTATTTTAATTGGTAAAATTTCCTTTTGAAGTGTTAGGAAGACATGGCATTTTAATCATCTGGCCAGATACTAAATTATTTAATAAGAAAAGATAAACAGGCAAGTAGCCGGAGTGGGTGGGAGGGAGGGGGGGGGGGTCAAACCACCCATTTTGATGGGAGAAAGTCCCTTCTGGTGAAACTTCATGGTAAAAAGGTTCACTTTTTTAAAAAGAGGAACCCTACTTTTGAAATTACTGGCTTTGGACCTGGTATAAATCATTGTACCCAAGTGCAATGGTGGAGCAAGCAATGATTCATAGCTAAGCAAAATTTGCTGGTTGACAAAATTCCACTTTGGCTCTTTAACTTGAGACAAGGAACACATCACCATTTTTGATGATATGATGTAAGAAATAGGCACATTTGCTGCTGTCTAGAAAAAAATATATATATCTGCGACAAAAATGTTCATCAACTACCCTTAAAGGAATGCAAAACCATTTTTTTTTTGAAAAATTAAATGCTATTTGATTTTTCTTTTATACATATATCTTAAGCCTTAAAATATATATCAATATTCTATTTATACTAAATACTGTTTTTGTGCTATTGTGCTTGGTGACAATCACATTCACGAAGGACTTTTGTATAATTACAGTATTCATGTAAGTCAATATTCCCTGTTCAAAAGTCATTAATTATTGTGCATATTAAATCAAAGGTTCATTCATTTATGGAAAAATGCTCTTTGGCACCATCTTGTACATGCTCCCTCTATTGATCTGTTGCATGTTCACAGTTTGGAGGATCGGGTGAGCCAGTTGAAATCCTGGAAATTAGATATAAAAAGAAAAAATAATTAAATTCTAAAAAGATGATTTTTGATACTTTTCATTATTAGTACATGTCATTTTCATCTGCATTATTGTTCATCTTCTTGCAAAAAAGTTGTCCTAAAAAAACAAAACATGAATTGAAGTAGCCAAAAATTATCTAATTAATGACCTCTTCCGTAAGCACTGGGGCTCAGCAAACCAAAATTGCCAAACTGTTTCAACACCTGACATCTTAACAGTGGCGCCCCCTATAAGTGGAGCTCTTTCCTCAGAAGCTATACCCCATACCCCAGATTTGCCTACTAAAATTTGCCACTGTTCAGAGGTAAACCACCTCACCTGTTGTTTTCTGGCAGCATCCCCCCTGATGATAACATTCACCAAGGACGGCTTCACTTTATCGTCCAGGCATTTCCTCAGAGACGTGGTGATTTCATCTGGAGTCATGGCAAGGTACCCTTCACCCCCCAGCGCTTTCATCATCTGATCATAGCGTACCATGGGAGATAAAGAGAATGGTGGACTCCTAAAATTAAAGCATGCGTGTTTATTTCTAGAGGGTTAGCAAATTATATATATTTTACTCTTTTTTATTTTCTCCTTAAATGTTTCTCACCTTTTCAAAATGTAAAAGAATTGTAATAAGACTGTTGTGATGTACCATAACTTGAAAAGCAGTTTTCTCCTTCAATTTAGATATAGAGATATATACAACTACCAGGCATAATGGCCATTCTAAGTATCCACATATATTGCCCATTTTGCCTCCTATTTTATAAATTGTTTGTAAATTGTACAAACATGTGGAGTGAAACAAGGCAAAAGCACAATTCTGTTCATGTTCCCTGGCTTCCTAGGTCCATCAGTTCTAGGGAATATTCACAGATAAATATAGATAATGTAATATTTACGCAATACAGGGGTCCTCCTCATTTGTCATGGAAGTCCATGTTTCTTTGTCTATGCCATGTCCAATGCCGCTGTTGTTGACGACAACAAAGACGATGGGCAGTTTGTATCTGTGGAGATAGGAAATAAAGGTTATGTCAACAAAATTACAAGATTTATATTTTCAGCAATATGTTAACTTTTGTCTACATGTTTTTGGTTGGTCTACCCCTGCTTGAACAGTTTCCATTTCAGAATTTTAACCTGTGGATTGTAATTTTTAGAGATAAATTTTCTTACATTGGAAAAATTTTCTCTAAGCAACATATTAAACAACTTTTGAACAAGATAACAATTTGTTAACCAATAACAAATGATAAAAGTTCTATTCCTAACCTTACGACAGTTTCCATTTCCATTCCAGAAAACCCTATTGCACTGTCACCCTCAATGCAGACGACACGCTTTCCAGGCTGGTGGTCTCGACAATAGAGGGCTGCAGCCAAGGCAAACCCAACCCCAACTCCCATCGTACCAAAAGTGCCAGCATCAAGTCTGAAATGCACATTTTTTAAAACAATTTTCTATATTAACATTTGTGCTTTCATCTTTATTACTTTTCCTAATTGAAATAGCATCAAGGAACTAAACTAAATGCAAAAAAGCTACGTACATCTTGAATGAATATATATAGTTGTAATGAAAAACTCAATCTCATTTTTATACGCAAAATGAAAAACACAAAGAGTTAGCATTATTCAGAGTTCGCATCTAATTTTTCAATAAAGTAGTATACGTTGTACAAAAACCACATATTCTGATACAAATTTCTGCTACCCACCCAATATCAAATATTTAAAAAGTCAGATTGCCATTTCAAAAATTTCTAGAATGTGACAAAAATCATGTCTCCAAACAAATAATTTACCTGTGCCTGGGAAAAGTGTTGGGTAACATGGTTCTTCCTATGTCCATTGTGTTGGACCCTTCATTCACTATGATACAGTCCTTGGGGAGGAGAGCATTGATCTAAAACACAAAAATTTTAAATTTTCACAGCCAGACATCATGTTTTAAATTATATATTCTGCATTTTGAATGTAAAATAAAATAAAATGGACAAATGCACAGTAATCATTTCATATTAATGCCAATGCCATGCCTGCATGGACAGATACATCTCCTTTGTTCTGCTTTATAAGTATATGTTCTCTCCCAATACATGGATGTTCATATACGTACATTATATATGGATTACTGCTAATGGATCTAGTATATCAAAACTTATTACAGGCCCATAGTTAAAATCCTCAAAAATTTCACTCTATAGCTTATACACAACAACAAAATTTTGACTTAATTTCTAAGGTGGATGTGAAAAAGCCAGCCTTAATTTCAGTCTATAACTTTTGACTTAATTTCTAAGGTGCTTCTGGGAAAGCCAGCCTTAATTTCAGTCTATAGCCTTTGGCTTAATTTCTAAGGTGGATGTGGGAAATCCAGCCCTGCTTACCCTGTCTAAAGCAGTGTAGTAATTCATAGGAATCTCTGTGTCCTGGATGAGTTTCTGAAAGAAAAGTATAAACATATAAGAGCGCATTCAGAATAGCTGACTTACAGATCCGCGGATCAAATATGGACGGCCCACTTTAATGCTCGTTGCATAATCCCCAAGGGGAATCTATTCAGTGCCTAATCGAGAATTAAACAGTAAGCATGTTTAATACGTTTCATGCTGAGGCCTTTGTCCAACAGTGGAACACTATAGGCTCTAAATGATGATGATGATGATGATGTTTAATACGTGGATCTGTTAGTCCGCTGTTCTGAATGCGCTCTAACATAAGCCATTATCCAGACATCTATCGATGCCTTTTTGAAGAATATTGGTTATTTTTTCCCTGTTCTCAACTATGAAAAAAATTTTTTTTCTATGAAAGGTGTGATTTAAATTCAATTTTAATTGAAAGTATTATAAAATGAAGACCATGGCTTAAGGGAAATCGAAAACACACCATGTTTAGTTCACTGTGAATGTGTTTACTACATGTAGTAGACAGGAATGCACAAACAACAAAGGATCCATCTTTGTTGAGCAAAAAATTTCCACAGGGATTCCACTGACTCCTTAAAACATTCATCATTAAAAAAAACAACTTACATTGGAATTCTGTTTGTTCTGTTCAATCTTCTGTTTGAGGCTGGTCCACCATTCAGATTTGGGGTCAAATCTAAAACCACTGGGCAGCCTTTGCAGCTCTTCCAAAAACTGAAAAAAAAATATGAAAGATCCAGCAACACTTAATTTATATTGAGATGTATATTTTGAATAAAATTTGATGACACAGGGTGTACATGTCAATTATTATTATTATTATTATTATTATTTTTTTTTTTTGGGGGGGGGGGGNCATCTTAACAGTGGCGCCCCCTATAAGTGGAGCTCTTTCCTCAGAAGCTATACCCCATACCCCAGATTTGCCTACTAAAATTTGCCACTGTTCAGAGGTAAACCACCTCACCTGTTGTTTTCTGGCAGCATCCCCCCTGATGATAACATTCACCAAGGACGGCTTCACTTTATCGTCCAGGCATTTCCTCAGAGACGTGGTGATTTCATCCGGGGTCATGGCAAGGTACCCTTCACCCCCCAGCGCTTTCATCATCTGATCGTAGCGTACCATGGGAGATAAAGAGAATGGTGGACTCCTAGAATTAGTGCACGCATGTTTATTTCTAGAGGGTTAGTAAATTATATATATTTTACTCTTTTTTATTTTCTCCTTAAATGTTTCTCACCTTTTCAAAATGTAAAAGAATTGTAATAAGACTGTTGTGATGTACCATAACTTGAAAAGCAGTTTTCTCCTTCAATTTAGATATAGAGATATATACAACTACCAGGCATAATGGCCATTCTAAGTATCCACATATATTGCCCATTTTGCCTCCTATTTTATAAATTGTTTGTAAATTGTACAAACATGTGGAGTGAAACAAGGCAAAAGCACAATTCTGTTCATGTTCCCTGGCTTCCTAGGTCCATCAGTTCTAGGGAATATTCACAGATAAATATAGATAATGTAATATTTACGCAATACAGGGGTCCTCCTCATTTGTCATGGAAGTCCATGTTTCTTTGTCTATGCCATGTCCAATGCCGCTGTTGTTGACGACAACAAAGACGATGGGCAGTTTGTATCTGTGGAGATAGGAAATAAAGGTTATGTCAACAAAATTACAAGATTTATATTTTCAGCAATATGTTAACTTTTGTCTACATGGCAGCTAGGATTTTAAAATGTTTTTGGTTGGTCTACCCCTGCTTGAACAGTTTCCATTTCAGAATTTTAACCTGTGGATTGTAATTTTTAGAGATAAATTTTCTTACATTGGAAAAATTTTCTCTAAGCAACATATTAAACAACTTTTGAACAAGATAACAATTTGTTAACCAATAACAAATGATAAAAGTTCTATTCCTAACCTTACGACAGTTTCCATTTCCATTCCAGAAAACCCTATTGCACTGTCACCCTCAATGCAGACGACACGCTTTCCAGGCTGGTGGTCTCGACAATAGAGGGCTGCAGCCAAGGCAAACCCAACCCCAACTCCCATCGTACCAAAAGTGCCAGCATCAAGTCTGAAATACACATTTTTTAAAACAATTTTCTGTATTAACATTTGTGCTTTCATCTTTATTACTTTTCCTAATTGAAATAGCATCAAGGAACTAAACTAAATGCAAAAAAGCTACATACATCTTGAATGAATATATATAGTTGTAATGAAAAACTCAATCTCATTTTTATACGCAAAATGAAAAACACAAAGAGTTAGCATTATTCAGAGTTCGCATCTAATTTTTCAATAAAGTAGTATACGTTGTACAAAAACCACATATTCTGATACAAATTTCTGCTACCCACCCAATATCAAATATTTAAAAAGTCAGAATGCCATTTCAAAAATTTCTAGAATGTGACAAAAATCATGTCTCCAAACAAATAATTTACCTGTGCCTGGGAAAAGTGTTGGGTAACATGGTTCTTCCTATGTCCATTGTGTTGGACCCTTCATTCACTATGATACAGTCCTTGGGGAGGAGAGCATTGATCTAAAACACAAAAATTTTTAATTTTCACAGCCAGACATCATGTTTTAAATTATATATGCTGCATTTTGAATGTAAAATAAAATAAAATGGACAAATGCACAGTAATCATTTCATATTAATGCCAATGCCATGCCTGCATAGACAGATACATCTCCTTTGTTCTGCTTTATAAGTATATGTTCTCTCCCAATACATGGATGTTCATATACGTACATTATATATGGATTACTGCTAATGGATTTAGTATATCAAAACTTATTACAGGCCCATAGTTAAAATCCTCAAAAATTTCACTCTATAGCTTATACACAACAACAAAATTTTGACTTAATTTCTAAGGTGGATGTGAAAAAGCCAGCCTTAATTTCAGTCTATAACTTTTGACTTAATTTCTAAGGTGCTTCTGGGAAAGCCAGCCTTAATTTCAGTCTATAACTTTTGACTTAATTTCTAAGGTGGATGTAGAAAAGCCAGCCGTGCTCACCCTGTCTAAAGCAGTGTAGTAATTCATAGGAATCTCTGTGTCCTGGATTAGTTTCTGAAAGAAAAGTATAAACATATAAGAGCACATTCAGAATAGCTGACTTACAGATCTGCGGATCAAATATGGACGGCCCACTTTAATGCCCGTTGCATAATCCCCAAGGGGAATCTATTCAGTGCCTAATCGAGAATTAAACAGTAAGCATGTTTAATACGTTTCATGCTGAGGCCTTTGTCCAACAGTGGAACACTATAGGCTCTAAATGATGATGATGATGATGATGATGTTTAATACGTGGATCTGTTAGTCCGCTGTTCTGAATGCGCTCTAACATAAGCCATTATCCAGACATCTATCGATGCCTTTTTGAAGAATATTGGTTATTTTTGCCCTGTTCTCAACTATGAAAAAAATTTTTTTTTTCTATGAAAGGTGTGATTTAAATTCAATTTTAATTGAAAGTATTATAAAATGAAGACCATGGCTTAAGGGAAATCGAAAACACACCATGTTTAGTTCACTGTGAATGTGTTTACTACATGTAGTAGACAGGAATGCACAAACAACAAAGGATCCATCTTTGTTGAGCAAAAAATTTCCACAGGGATTCCACTGACTCCTTAAAACATTCATCATTAAAAAAAAACAACTTACATTGGAATTCTGTTTGTTCTGTTCAATCTTCTGTTTGAGGCTGGTCCACCATTCAGATTTGGGGTCAAATCTAAAACCACTGGGCAGCCTTTGCAGCTCTTCCAAAAACTGAAAAAAAATATGAAAGATCCAGCAACACTTAATTTATACTGAGATGTATATTTTGAATAAAATTTGATGACACAGGGTGTACATGTCAATTATTATTATTATTTTTTTTTTTTTTGGGGGGGGGGGGG